GTTCCAATTGGAACGGATTAACCGGTTTTCAATGTATTCCTATGGGAAATGGTGTTTCACAGAACGATGTTTCACACAACGTTGATTTTTTTTGTAACCAATTAACGTCGTTGTGTGAGGCACCACTGTATTTTGTCTCTTAATGGTGTAAAACACTGTCATATACACCTTGTTCTCAGCTTTAAATATTGTCCTTCAAGGATGTAAGCCACCTTGGGTCATTAAAAGGCAGGGTAAAATATTTAAAATGAATGAATAATCAATGAATAAACAGTATATATCAGATGAGTAGAGAACAAAGGGAGATGAACTGAAACTTCAGCCTCCAGAGATGCCCTTTGTGGGATTTTGGGAGACTGTGGGGTTTGGAAGGGGTCAGAGGGAATAGCAAGAGGAGCTTTCTTTATGGCTTTCAGGTATACTGGAAAGGAGCATGGGCAGAGAAGGAAAGTGGCATCGTCTTTCCTTTAATGTGTGGCCATAATAAGGGAGCCTTGAGGAGGCGTTGGTCCTGTGACACGTCTCCTTGTCGGTGCCAAAGAAAAATATGTGGAGACAATTGTTTTTGAAATTGCTGGTGTTACTAGGTACAGACTTAGCCTTTTTTTAAAGACCAGAAAATGTGATGGGAACAATTCTTTTATAGCTATTACTGCTATTAGAGATAAGACATTGTATTCCTAGGAAAATCAGTTTTGGAGACCACATGGGTAAATCTCTTCTTAATCATGTATTTCTTTTAACATACTATGATACTTGCACAGTCCCAGGTCACTCCCAGAAGAAGGAAACGATAAACCACTTCTGAGTTCTCTTTACTTAGAAACCCTGGAGATTGTCACCATAAGTCAGTGCTGACATGATAGCCCACAAAATTATGATTATTATTGTTGTCAACCTTGAGATGGAGGTTAGGGATGAAACCTTTGGTGTGTATGAAAAACAACACAGAGAAGGCTCTTCCTTTCATTTTTGGAATCTTTTATTTCTGACAGAGAGCCTCTGAAATCC